TGTGCGTGTGCGTGTGCGTGTGCCTGTGCCTGTGCCTGTGCCTGTGGGTGTGGGTGTGGGTGTGGGTGTGGGTGTGGGTGTGGGTGTGGGTGTGGGTGTGGGTGTGGGTGTGGGTGTGGGTGGGTGTGTGTTGAGTTGGATAACGGAGAGCAGACCCTACAACCCCTAGCCCATTTGTGGGGGATTGCAGGTTGAGTTGGAGTTTTATGAACATTTGGAATGAACCGGACGGTCGTTCGAACCGGAATGGAGCCCTCGAATCCTCGATCGTTGGAGGGAAGGCGCGCTGAACACTACTGTAAGCTGAAATTCCCGAACCTGTACCACATCACATTGCAGGGCTCAGGGTCAAACCCGAAACCCTGAGAGGGTTTGGATCCTATCGCACCTAGCTGGAGCTGGCACGTTTGCACGTTTGAGATCTCCAAGCTATGTCAAAAGCTAGGCTTTCCGCGCTCAAAGTACAAGGTTTGGGGGCTGTGGGGCTAAGCATTTGCTCTTGGCAGAGGAGCACAGCACCTTGCTTTAAAACCTGAGCCCAAAAAGGTCCAGAACTGTCGATTTCAACCCTCGTCTCCCTTCCTGAAGCTCCTTGTGCGGTTTAGGGTTTAGGGTTTTAGAGTTTAGGGTTTAGGGTTTAGGGTTTAGGGTTTAGGGTTGTATTGGATCCCAAACATTCCAGAGACCGTGCTTAGATGATTGATCAATGCGCTTATTTCAGCCAGCATATCATGGATCCTCGCACGTCTGAGGAGCGAACTATGTTTGAGAGGTATGGGGATCTTTTGCTTCGGCCTGAGCCGGATCGGGATGATGCCAATCAGCCTTAAACTTCACTACCTTCCGATTCAGCCTCCTGACATAGGGAGACAGGCCGAGGGCAGCAGCCCGTGAAGATCTGTCAAAACTGGGAGTCTTCAGCCTGGGAATCGGGGATTCACTACTGCGGGTGCAGGGTTCAGGGTCGCAGGTACTACTGCCCCAAGTTTTGCAAATCCCAAGCCGCATTGCCGTCTTCTTCCTTCAGGGCACATATTTGCGGAAAGGAGCAGATGAGCCGAACCCCTTCCAGGATCAGCAGCCGACCACCAACAAACACAACAGTGGCAGGACACTCAGTACACCGTAGAAGCCAGAACCATAAACCCTAAACCCTAAACCCTAAACAGGACCAAGACGGCAGAGCCCCAACTTCAAGTTGCAGGTAGTTTTGCGACTCGGTGTACTTGGCTCCCTGAACGCGAGCCCTGCATCAGAAGTCTTGAGCCCCTACGCCGCCTCCCATAGCTGGCTATGATTAATGCTCCTTCTCCTCTATCTTCCTGTCACAGACTTATACTTGAAACCCTGAAGCCCAAGACCCTGAAATCAAGCTGAAACTAATCCTAGCAAAAACCAGAAGCCCTTCATGTGAATCATTCACTTGCCATGGCTGCTCCTGAGAGAACCGGTGAGCAACATCCGGAGGAGCCGAACGGGCAAGAGAGGGCAGAGTTTTGGGTTCATTGTAGAAGCCTCAATAAGTACCCCTAGTATTCCTTAGCAAGGGCTTGGGGTCTACTGTAGAAGCATATTTTTTCTTAGGGTTTCTGATTACAGTTATACCCCCTGTCCAAGTAATATTCAAGGCCCTTACACTAGTTTAACAGTCTAGGGCCTTTTCAGCTGGGTCTAACTGTTCTTTAACTACATCTCGAGCTACGGGAATCCTCCAAAGATAGTCGACGGTGGAGAAATCCTGGACAGGGTGGAAGTGTCACAAAGGCATGCAAGAGATGCATTGCGTTGTTCAGTTCGTGTTTGGGGGCACACCGTGAGTGAACCCTCTAGCTTACCCAAGTTTCCAGTGCATGGGCTCTGAGATTTTAAAGAAAGCCAGCCGAAGACGAAGCTACAGACCTTGATCCGAAGCCCTCAACCTAGACCTACCCAGCTCGTATTTTTTGGGTGGTTCTTGAAATGAAACCTCTGTTTCAGCGTGGTCGTTATCACTCCAACGAGGCTGTGCGAGCAGCAAGCAAATCTGCGTGAGAGTCATCGGTTCTGACAGATGCGGATGTCCGAAGCCTAGGGCTTAGGAGAGTTCGAGTTTCAGCCGCGATCCCGAATTGAGCCGTTCAGCGTGGGGAGCATCTAGACTGCACATGAGCCCAGACCCCGGACCACAATCCACAAAAGCCCTGAACCCCCGTCCCAAAGCCGAAACCCCAAGGTCTTAACCCCTACAGCCCCAAGCCCTCTTCCCTAAACCCTAAGCCCTTCGTCAGCACGAATAAAAACAATCAAAATAACACTGGCCTTGAGAATAAGAATAAGAAAAAGAACACTACTACTACTCCTGCTGCTGCTACAACTACTACTAGTAGCAGTAGTAGTCGTCGTCAGTCGTAGTCGCTGTTGTAGAAGAGTAGCTGTTAAGTTAACCCCGGAGCCCAAAAAGCTGGGGAAGGATTCGCCTCGGCCCTCTTCCGAAGGCCTGTCTGATTTTGGGGTTTAGGGTTTTAGGGTTTTAGGATTTTGGGGTGTTAGGATTTTGGGGTTTTAGGATTTTGGGGTTTTAGAGTTTTAGGGTTTTAGGATTTTGGGAGTGGGATTTTGGGGTTTTAGAGTTTGGGGTTTAGGGCTTTAAGGTTCTGGGTTTTGGGGTTTGGGGTTCTAGGGTTGTAGGGTTTAGGGCTTTAGGGTTCTTGGGTTTGCGGGTTAGGGTTTAAGGGGTTCTGGGTTTGGGTTTGCGATTTTAGGGCTCTGTTGTAAGGTTTTAGGAATTGGGGTTTGGGTCTTGAGACCTTGAACACCCAATGCCTCATTGGGTTTCGTTTTGTTTTTGAGGTCTGTGTTTAGTGGCCGTGTGAAGGTCTCATGGTTTAGGGATCGAGAGTCGGGCTCAAGGCTGAAATGGATCTTTCGGCTTTTTGGGTTTAGGGTTTAGGGTTTAGGGTTCTGAGACCGTTGTCATGCGAGCTGCTGACTCAAAAGCTTTGTGCGTAAGCCCTGTGTGGTCCATCGCAGCTGCCTCGCCGCGGCGAACTGGACCAACCCCTAAACCCTAAACCCGAAAACCCCCGAAAAGACACCTTGAACCACCATGCCTCTCCTCGACGTCAGCACGCTGCGAACCATGATGCTGGAAGCCCTGCCCACAGGCCCTAAAGTAGTTCCTTTTGGGGGTTTAGGGTTTAGGGTTTAGGAATTACCGGGATTACCCACAGGCCCTAAAGTAGTCTCTTTTTGGGGCTCATATATAGAATCCTATAATCCCCCAAAAGGAACTACTGTGGGGCCTATGGGTAAACCCTAAACCCTGAGCCTTCCACTCTTGAGAAAGCTCAGTCTCACTTTGGACATCTCGCTTCCTCAGCTCACTGTAGGGGCCTTAACAATTTGAATAGGTTTCGGATAGTATAATTATAAGAAGGAACGGGGTTCCTTAATATATTTATAGTATAATATGATCCAAAACCCTATTCTAATTGTTAAGGCCCCTACATTAAGCACTCAACCGGCAGGCGCCGTGGCCTCCTCCACGAAATCCGACGCCACTGGAGCGAGGACCGCGGAAGCGGCAAGGGTAGGCCGGGCGAGGATCAGGATCCTTGCATACTATAGGGTGTAGGGTTTGGGGTTTCTTACTATCGGGGTCTTAATAATTAGAACAGGGTTTGGGGGTATATTATACATTAATTATAATAAGGAGCCCCCAAAACCCTATTCTAATGACTAAGGCCCCTACATTAACTTCAGGCTTCAATGATTTGGATGGCTTATGAGATGATGGTAATGATAACTGTTGCACAGGTACGTAGGGCTGATTCAAATCCGACGTTTGAACCTCAAACCCTACTACCCTTCTCACGGACTTAGATGAGGGGGGCGTGGGGCATGCGCTTTGTTGGGCTCTCGGTCTGGCTCTCTCGGTTTCACCGGGGGGTTTTCTAAGGTCACACCTTCTCCGAGACCTCGCAGAAAAGTGGTGTGGTCGGTGCCCGGTAATCCCCGAAGGCCATACTTCACGCATCCCAAAGCTTCGAAGCCCAGGATTGTGAAGCCGAGTGAGAGGCAGATGGAAGAAGAAACTCAAGAAGCAATCCCTTACAGACTTAACGCCCTCCGCTGCAGGACACCGCAGTTTCCGGGTTCCCCAAGCCTTGCCTGCAGGCGGGACCGGCTTAAGATGGGGACGGACAGAACCAACATAACCCAACTACCCTGTAGGGAAAATGCCGAAGAAAGGTGCAGTCCATAGGCTCATACCATACAGCACTATGCACAGAGAGATAGCGGGTATGAATCATGAAGGGAAAGGTGTGATTCCTACCTTAGGAGAACAGCGGATGCGTGGCAGCTGCGAGGGTCTGTGGTCTGTGGTCTGTTGTACCCATAGGCCCTAGAGTAGTTCCTTTTTTGGGGTTCATAGATAGAATCCTATAAGGTAACCCGCAAAAGGAACTACTACGGGGCCTATGGGTAGTTAGTATTGAAAGTGCGGGAGTGGTTTTGTGGCCAAGCTTGGATTACAGGTTGGGAGGGCGCTGTTTCCCATACGGGGTCTTTTTGGGAGCTAGGATTAGGGGACCCTTGGGCATATAGACCCTCTCCATAAGGTTCCTTTTAAGAGAGCCAAAAGTAGGGTTCAGAAAGGGTGCCCTTTAAGGGGTACCCCTAATAATACTACCTACTTTTGCCCAAGTGAAGTCCCGTCACTTGCTGAGACATGCCGAGACAACGTTCAACAGAGAGCCAGAGGATCACGATCACAGTTCTAATGTTATCCTGTCAAACCACATAAGCCTCCATCCCTAAACCCTATAAATAGACCCAAAACCCTGAATTCCTAAACCCTATAAACCCTAAACCCAAAGCCCCCTAAACCCCTAAACCCTATAAACCCTTCAACCCTAAGCCCCTAAACCCCTAAACCCTATAAGCCCTTCAACTCTAAACCCCTAAACCAATAAACCCTAAGCCTCTAAACCCCTATAAAGCCTATAAACCCTAAACCCTAAACCCCAAGCCACTCAACCCCTAAACCCCAAAGCCCTTTAAGCCCTAAACCCCCTGCATCATTCAATCTCACGTGCACCTGGGCCTTGCATCTCTACCTTAACCTACCAAAACCCAGTTTTTTGTGGGTTCTTATCATGAACCCTAATATGGGATTTGTAGGGACCCTACAAAGAGTAGGTTAAGGTAGAAAGCCAGGAGGTTTGGCCTGAACCCTGCGCCTCAGACTTTAGGGTTTTGGGTTTTGGGTTTGGGGTTTAGGGTTTAGGGTTTTAGGGTTTAGGGTTTTAGGGTTTAGGGGTTATAGGGTTTAGGGTTTAGGGTTTAGGGTTCAGGTGCAGGTAACGTAGGGCCCTAAATAAGTAGAATTGGGCTCCTTAAACGAGCTACTATAAGGCCTACTATAAGGGTTTAGGAATGTAGGTGCCTAAATACTTACCTATAACTATTCTGGGGGTTCTTGATTATGACTATGGTATAATGGGCCCGACAACCCTATTCCAATTATTATATAAGCCCCCTATAATAGCAACAAGGGTGGGATCCATGACAATGGTGGTTCAGACTATGTTCGGTACTCTGAACAAGGACGACAAGACTGCGTGCAATCATCAAGGTCCAGATTCCGTGTCCCTGCATTTTTACTCCTTTCTGCGTTTCAGCACTGCAAACGATGGAAGGTCTGTTCCAAAATGTGATGTGGTCTTTGTAGTATGTTCGCCCTGGCCCCATGGGTGTACGAGGAAGGGACGGTTGTTGTCAACGCGACGCACATACAGCCAAACTCCAAAGTTCAGAAAGCGAAGCCAAGACCAAGGGCCCTAAGGTAGGGGCCTTAATGATCAGAATAGGGTTTTGGGGGGTATATTATACTCTAACTATCATAAGGAATCCCCAAAATAAAGGAAATTATTTAGGCCACTATACTAAACCCTGAGCCCTAAACCCTAAGTCATACCCCAGGACCTTGCTCAAGGAGGCGGAGCACCTGGAGGCGAATGCCACGAGACGCTTTCGGGTTTAGGGTTTAGGGTTTAGGGATGTCCATAGGTTCCCAGCAACATAAGATAGGATCGTAGTGCAATCCTCGACATTCGGGGCGATCGTCATCAATCACGGTTTAAGGTTCAGGTAGGGTGCAGGGTTAGGTCTGGGAGACGGGAATAGGTACCCAAACCCTGGTTTACGGTTTGGGGTGGCTTTAGGGTGTAGTGTTTTAGGGTTTAGGGTTTATAGGCCCTGCAACGAAACCTTAAGCCCTGCACTCCCGAAGCCGTTGCAGGAGCTGTTTCTCCTGTCCCCTGCACCTCCGTTGGGAGCAGAGCCGCGAAGTCCGCCGCCGGGCGCCGAACGGTTTCGGGCGCTGGAGATAATATTGTGGAGGATTCCGGGTTTGGGGTTGCGGGTTCAGAGGTTGGGTATGCTGAATGAAAGGTCTACATCCTACAGCATGATTCCTGCATTCATCCTGAATCACCACCACGACTACGACAGTAAGACTACGTAGCGTTGTACCATATTAGTTCACGCTACTTCCCAAGTGTGTTCCTAGGTAGGAGGCTCTTCGCAATATGTTACGGATCTGAAGGCAAGGACCGGCGGTCTAGGAGTGTCAGGCAGGTTTGTTGAGGTTTACCCTGCATTGTCTCAGGAGAGATGACACGTTCCAAGAATGGGAGGCCAAACTGGGGGTTTAGGGTTTAGGGTTTTAGGGTTTAGGGTTTATTCAGGGTTTATTCAGGGTTTAGGGTTTAGGAGTTTAGGGTATACGGGGCTGTCGGGTGTGGTCTTCAGAAACTGGCCCCGCAAATCTACAGGCACTCATACTGCTAATTTGGAATCCCACTCCTTTTTTGGGAGCCCGGGGCAGTATCGAGAGGCATCGGAGGCGCTGTGTTACAGTGAAGCGCACTGATGACTGCAAGCCCGAAACCCTGACGCTGAAGCATGCTAACTTATAGCGGCTTCGTGCATTCGGAACAAGAACCTCTCTATAATCCCGACTCACATGTCAAGCCCCTGAATCCCTGGGATGCGTTGTGGGGGTACTTGCCAAGGCGACGAAGTGGCGAAGTCGGGGTTTGTGGGTTGGGTCGCGGAGGTGTTCAAGCGAAGAGTAGAAAGGTTCCCATGCGACTGGAGGTAAAGTGACCGTCGAGGCATGCGCTAGGCTTTTATCTTTGGGACCCTTAGTGGTATTAAGGCCCCCTACCTCCCTCCCCAATAACCCCCCTAAGAGTCCCTATGATTTTAGATGCCCAAGCCTCAATACGATTCGGAAACTGCACAAAGAGTCAAATCCTAAACCCTAAATGCTCAACCGCAGACTTGGCCAAAAAAAGTCGGCGGATGACTTTCCGGAGAGCAGGGTTTCGTTCTTCGGAATGGCAACGTTCATGAGGTTAATATAGGGGCCTGAATAATTACCAATACTATGTTGGGGATTCCTGATTACAGTTAGAGTAATATACCCCCCCAAATCTATTCTAATTACTGAGGCCCCTGTATTACCTTTCAGGTACCGCCCAGAACAGCTATTCCAAATTCAGGTTCTGCAAGGAGCCAAGCTTCAGAACAGCCCCAACATGATTTCTCTGGTTGAAGGTCCCTGCACACTCCCAAGCTTAACCAAGTCCAACCCAGTCTCTTAGGAAGCTGGACAAATGTAAGGTCATGTGTCAATCGAAGCCCAAAAAGCCTAAGTATGTTGCGACAAGACAGGCTCGCGAGCTGGCAGCGCAGCTGCTCGTCTTCACAGCTACTTATGAGCTAGGATTTCAAGGGCCGTGTTGACGATTAGCCATTCGGGCTGATTGGCGTTGTCAGGTTTGGGTTGCTAGGTTGGACAGTGGCTCGGAAACTTCATACTAACTTCATCTAGCGGATGCATGATGTGCAGCTCTTGCAGGCCTCCCTCGCTGAATTTTCAGCAGGCACACGAGTTTGCTACATCATTCCTTGAGCTAACTTTCTTGTATGTGCAAGCTTTGTTTTCCCTGTTGAACTCACGGGCTAAGGCCGTTTACGGCCGAGCATCCACACATGAAGAAATGCTAGCAGTGCTACGAATGTCTCTGATGTCTCAGCCCTACAACCGAATCTTGATATACGATAATATACTATAGCATACTTGTTATAATACACTATATTATACACGATAAGATACTATAATATACAGCACTATACTACAATAACCTGTATCATACTACAGCTCAACAGTCTCTGGCTCGAGGATTGCATTGCTCTGGCAGAATTTACTTTGGGCTTTTGTTGGGGTGAAGCCAATGCTGCTAAGTCTGCCCCGCCCGTGACTAGTGGAATCCTGTATGTCATGTATGCCATGTATGCCTTGTATGTATG